GAAAGGCAGGGATTGTATGGTGAGACGCACAACGTACAAAAGATATGGGATATGAAAGGCAGGGATTGTATGGTGAGACGCACAATGTACAAAAGATATGGGATATGAAAGGCAGGGATTGTATGGTGAGACGCACAACGTACAAAAGATATGGGATATGAAAGGCAGGGATTGTATGGTGAGACGCACAATGTACATTTTTCAAGACTATTTATCAGGCCGAACTACGGATTGGAAAGTCTAAGCTTCGCCCCTGAATAAGCCTCTGTTTGCGTTATCATAATAAAAGCCAATCCCTTTATTCGGTTCAAAACTGTAAAAAACGCCTGATGCTGCCGACTGGCTGCCCTAACTCTGGTTAGTAGCCGAAAATTAGGGACAACTGTACATGGACACTAGGAATCTCTGACCAGGTTATTCAGTCTAAGTATCGCATTGAAAATACGCACTTTCATTGTTGCTTGTTCCTAACTAATATACATATATATAATACATTTGAATTTACTGTTTAGTAAACTATTTGAACTACTGCAAATCACATAGTATTTCTTGTTAAGTATATTCACATATTTTGTATATCACTAACCAACAAAATATGACATATCTTTTTTTAGCCTTTGTACATTGTTGTTTCCTATTTGTTGCATAAGGTAATGCATGCACAGTATTATATGTCTACCTTCATAGAGATTAAAAAATATATGAACAAACAGCTTGGAGTTGCATACGCTTCAAATATTTGTTTTGCACATTGTAACTTAATGATATGGTGTTGCCACATTACTCTGACAAACCATTTTCAATGCGTCTGTTCTCCATAGGTTTGTGGAATCGTGTTGGCAACTCGGCTGCTAGCTAGGATACAGACTCTGACTAAGGATGAAGAGATGTACGAAGGTATTTTAAGATGATCTCTATGTTCAGGAAAAAGCCATTGAACCTTGTCTTATATAGAGATACAATATCGTGGGCAACCTTTTTTTCTTTAAGCAAGAGAGAGATTCACTGCAAAAAAATAAAGCTTTCTTAGAAAACTATTTTTATGTTATAAGAAAACAAAAAGCTTAATATTTATTGACGAAAAACTCCAATTATATTGACAAATATTTTTCTTCAATTATGGCAAGTATATACATTGAAATTGCTCATTCAAATAAAAACCACTGGAGATGATTAGTGATAGATCAAATCAGTTAATTGTACCCATATATATATACATATATATGTGTGTGTGTGTTTACCTGAATTGTCATTATTAAACTTTTCATTGTCATCAACAGCATTACCGCACTGGCTTGGCCGCCAATTTTGATTTCACATCTTTTAGTCGCCGTCCTATTTTTATTTGGCCGCACTTTTGTTTTTTACAGCTGGGCTATTTTAGTTTAGATATCACTGTTTTAAAAAAGCAGAATACACAAGTGATTGTGAGAGATATCATCACACGTGATCAACAAAGCCTAAAAAATACATATACGTACAAGTATGAGCTGTAAATGCAAGGATTTTACACACACACTTACATACATGGATTTATCACGTCAAGCAGTATTTGGCTTAAATATCAGTTGAATGTTTACCGTGCAGAAAAGCTGTAAAATATAAAGAATACTTTCAAAGTGGTATAGTACAATTTGTGTTGTTACTTATATATATGCAAAATATCACATGTTGAAGAGACAGTGTGATATAGGCTGTAGAACAAGACGTATACATATTTTGCTGTTATAGGCCTGGACACCCTAACCAACTGAGATCCGATAAAAACCGGATAGCAGCCAATTTTTATTCCGCTTGAAATTTCAAGAATCGATATTCAATAAAAGCCGGACGACAACCGGTTTTTAAGTTGATATCAGGGGATTTCCTTTAAATAATTTCAGAGAGATTCCATTTACTATTTGTCCTGCAAGTCTGAGCAAAAAATATCCTTCAAAAATCGCCGTTCTTTTTACTGTAACAGCTAAACGTTGAGTTTGATTTTCGCTAAATTTTGTACCACATTTTATAAAAATCTAAGTTTGGAAAGCATGTTTTTTTTAATTGTTTTAAAATCACTTACAATTTGGTGCGTAGAAGAAGAAGACGACGTAAATAGGCGAACTTTCAACATCGCATATCTCAATTTTGGCTAAACGGATTTTCTTTAAATTTGGAAAGTGAGATAAGCAAACTGGGAAGCAATACAGTTGAAATATTCAGGAAAATTCATGGAAAGAGTACTAAGTTACAGATAGACGAAAATCACAATTTGTTCGTTCCTTTAAATAACACTGTGTGCCGCGCGTCTCAAGTTTTTGTTTTTCTTGAACGCACAACACATTACCGTGTGTCTTGATATATATATATATACATATATTTCTGTATTAATTAGGCACCTTGATGTTTTTAGTTACGATTCATAAATATTTTCTTATTAACTATGGTATTAAAATGTCATGGTTTATAAAGTGTCATCAATGGAGAAAATTTTCACACTGACTGAAGAAGTATTATAATTCTATCCAAAGTTAAATTCTCGTACACAACCTCGCTTGCTCACTTCTTCAGAAATTGTTTTCATCGTGATGATCACATGCTCATCTTCGGAGACTACATACAATATCATCACGAATTTGCAGGACTTTAGCTTGATAGTATAGTTGGTTGGCGCTCATTCCTGTTAAGACGATGCTTTATGTACTAGTTAGCTATCAAAAAGAAAAATAGAGATAGAACATTTACCAACAGCAGTGAGACTGTGTTACTGAAACGACACTGAGTTGAGATAGGGAAATTTATTTATATCAACACTTACATACACGGCCTTTCAAGGAAAGACCCCCAGTGTCTCAGTGGTAAGTCTGAGGGCTTATAGCACTATAAATCTGGTTTTAACAGCTACGGTGGCCACAGCACAAATAGCCCATTATGTAGCTTTGAGCTTATCAATAAACAAACAAAACATTCACAGGAAATTTTATCACAAAATGTTTTAACACGAGAGTAGTTTATTTTTCTAGTATAAAATACATAGACACACAATACAGATGCATATAAAAAAGGAAAAATCAGCGGAGGAAATAAAATAAAATATTGAGTTCGTGTTTACTGGAATAATGACACTTTCTGCTTCTTAAATATTAACTATCTTAATATTAATATTCGTGTTTACTGGAATAATGACACTTTCTGCTTCTTAAATATTTATTTGGCGTACGTACCCGATGTAAATGTGAAAAACAGTAGTACGATATTTTGAGGTAATAAAATTAAGGATTTATTTTCAGTGATTTAACCATTTCTTCAAAATATACTAAAATAAAGTTATTGACTTGATTCAGTGATAACTATTAATTAGGCCTAACGTGGTAATTAGGGAGATTACTAATCTAAATGTGACAAAGTGATCAGTAATTCAAACGATTGTGTGAAATATTTTAATGTCTGTAGCTTATTATTATTATGTAATAGTAAACGAAATTAGTTGCAAAAATTAAGTAGAGAAAAGAAAAAGAAGTATAAATGTCCAAATTGTAAAAAAAAAAAAGGACATAAATGTTCAACTCAACAGAATAGCTCTAAGCCAGTGGTAGTTTCAATGTTATGTAATATTGAGTGTGCTCAAACAAGTCAAGGTGACCGTGATGCAGATGAAAAATATTAGTAAAGCTAAAATATTTGAATACTTTGACAAAATAAAAACAGAAATATCGGAAAGAAATGAACAGGACATGTGCGAAATTATACAGGAAATTTTCCAAGTGTAGATTGTAAAATGAACGATCTTAAATCATCATTGGACTTTTCATCAAATAATATTGATGAATTTATAAAAATAATGCCAGAAACAATAGTTAACACAAAGGAACTTAAACAACCAAATCAGGAACTTGTATCACAAAATAGAACCGTATAACAGGAAATCAACATCTTAAAAAAACGAGTAAGTGACTTTCAACAGTATTCACGAAATATGAATATTGAAATTCAAGGACAACTAGAAGTACAGGGAGAAAATATTTAGGAAGTTGCAAAGGCTGTTAATATCAATATAAAATATTGCGATTTTCACCAGGAAATATAAAGAAAAAACCAAACCAATCATCGTACAATTTTTAGTTGTCTGTTTATAGTTAAGCACCATGATACACAGTGGGATACCTGTACTGTGCCAACTATGGGTATCGAAACCGCAGATTTGCCGCTTTGGGTGGAACTACAGTTTTTAAATAAATGGTTTAAACAAGGAGTGAAGAAAGTGATTAAAACGAATGACATTAATATGAATTTTAAACACGTTTCTCAATAGCTAAAAATACAGCTAGAATTTTTTTTATCTACAGTTAATTCCACAGAAAATACATAATATAGCAATTACAAAAGTTTGGGCTAAAAAATAACGTTACATTTTATGAAATAGAGGAATATGAAAAATATTATAACGTTAGAGATCATAATAAATCGCCCCCCCCCCAGTGGCACAGCGGTATGTCTGCGGACTTACAACG